ATGCAGCTGCTCGGCCATGGAAACCCATTCCATGAAGCTCTCTATGCACTGTTGTTGTGCCAATCTGAAGGCCACACGAAGTTTGGAGGTCTGTAGCTATTGACTCTGCAGACAGTTGGTGACTTCTGCGTACTGTGCGCTTCAGCATGCGCTGACCACTCCCTGTCATTTTATGTGGCCTACCACTTCGTGCCTGAGTTGCTGTTGTTCCCAGTTGCTTCTGCTTTGTTATAATGCCTTTAACAGTTGACCGTGGAATATTTAGTAGCAAGAAAATTTCACGGATGGACTTATTGCACAGGTGGCAACCTATCACAGTACCACGCTTGAATTCACTGAGCTCCAGAGAGCGACCCATTCTTTCCCCATGGTCCCTGTGTGTGTTGTAAAGTAGCCACCGCACCAAGCTTGCTCCAGTGATGGACTACATTCTCACATTTATTTTACTACTTTGTATTGTGATCGTAGTCCATCATGGGAGTGAGCTTGGAGTGGTGGCTACTTCACAACACACAGGGACCATGGGCAACAAAAGTAGCCAATTTATGGACTACCCTGCTCAAGCTAAGAAACAGACAGGCGTCTGTTGAGGACCTTATAGATCATATTACCAAACTTGAATAATCCCATAGGGAAACTTTGGCTCAATAGACACTTATGGCCTTGACCGATACCAGACGGGAACTGAATGCACGCTTGGGATACAAGATCAGCAGAGCTTATACTCTGTGTACTGGCCTGTTTTATGATGGAGGGAATAAATGTGGCAAACTTTTAGCTAAAGCTGTGACATCTCATTTGCGTTCTTCCAACATTGAGCATATAGCACACAGTAATGGCTCCATGGTTATTTCTCCCCCTGATATCGCCGAATGTTTCAGAGAATATTACCTCACTCTATATAACCAGAACTCTCTGACCGCACCATCCTCAAGGCCAGCCCTGGAATGCATCCAGTCCTTTCTCTCCGCATCTCACATGCCTGCACTACCTGCAGATGTTGCCCAATCCTTAGAAAACCTTATCTCGACAGAGGAATTACAGAATTACAGCTTGCTATCTCTCAATGCAAACCTGGTAAAAGTCCAGGCACAGATAGCCTCACCACGCACTATTACAGGACTTTAAGGGATCTTTTAGCATCCCATTTTTTAAATGCCTATAACTCAGTAGGCCATACAAGTGATCTGCCAAGGCAAACCCTGGATGCCCAAATTTCGTTCATCCCTAAAGGAGGTAAAGACCTTCACCTATGCTCGGGTTACAGGCCTATTTCCCTCTTGAATGTGGATGTCAAATTGTTTGCCAAAGCCTCGTCGAATCGCCTTCTCCTGCATATCCCCACATTGATTGGTACCTCACAGGTGGGCTTTGTTGTTGGTCGTGAGGCGAAAGATAATACTATCAAAGCTAATAATTTGATCCACTGGGCCCAGACTAAAGGTATTCAAACCATTTTGCTGTCCACTGATGCGGAGAAGGCATTCGACTGGGTCTCATGAGAATTCATGTTTGCAGTACTATGACATTGGCCTGAGACTGCAGATGTTGGACTGGATCCATAGCAATATACTCTAGACCTACAGCGAAAGTTAAAACAACAGGCTACTTGTCCTCTAGTTTTCCAGTGTTGAATGGCACACGCCAAGGCTGTCCCTTGTCCCCGACCCTTTTTATTCTGATGATGGAACCATTTATTAGAATGGTCCTAAATTACCCTCTCATAAGAGGAATATTACGTGGAATATAAGTGGAACATAAAGTTGTCGCTTTGCTAATGATCTACTCTTATTTCTTGCTGATCCCACATCCGCGCTCCCTAGGTTAATGACCTTGTTTATGACCTACGGAACTCTTTCACATCTCAAGATTAACTATAGTAAATCGGCAGCACTGAATATTTCTGTACCCTGCTCCAATTGCTGACCCACTGCAGAGAAAGTACCCATTCCAATGGAGAGCTTCCTCTATCAAATACCTGGGAATACATCTCCCAACTAACCTATCAACCCTATTTGCGCTTAACTTCCTCTCATTACAATCAAAACTTAAGTCTGATCTACAAAAGTGGCGCACTCTTACTTTTACATGGTTTGGCCGGATTGCTTTATTGAAAATGAATGTTCTCCCTCGACTTTTATACCTCTTTCAAACAATCCCCATTACTCTCCAGAAATCATACTTCCGGAGCTTGCAAACCGATTTCTCTAAATTTGTTTGGAACGATAAACACCCACGCCTATCATGGGCTTTACAACAATGCCCAAAATCTAGAGGGGGATTACCCGTTTCGGATGCACACAAATACTACCTAGCCCCCCATCTAGCTAGGGTTCTCCATTGGCATACTCACCAGACATCTAAGGCCTGGGTAGATATAGAACAAGGATGGCTTCATGTTGCCCTTTCATCAGTGGTTTGGCTTTCAGATACACACAGACCTGATACCAATCTCCCTCACCCATTGATATCTGCGACATTACATGAGTTCTCAACCCTATGCAGACAGCAAGCTATCACCACACTGGATAGCCTCTTGACACCGTTGTTACACAACCCAGACTTTCCTCCAGGGAATAAACTCCTGAATTCCAGCAGTATTGGCCTATAGACGGACCACTCACCACAAACTTTTTTTTCAGAACCAGAAGTTTCTTGATAACAGCCACCTGGCTCACTTAAAGGAGAACTATGAGTTGAGTGCTTTTCACTCACCTCATAGTTCTAGCCGACCTGTGACAATGGGACTGTCACAGGTCGGCTCAGTAGATCGGGAGGTGAGCGAACACATACCGGCGTTCACTCACCTCTTGATCCTGTCACAGCTCTCTGCCGTGACAGGGGAGGGGCTGGATTCCCCCCTCCCCGCTCTGATCCACCAGCGCTGACTGGCGGAACGGACAGGGGAGGAGGCGGGTACAGCTGGCTCTTCCTCTAGATAGGCAGGGCCAGCTTTCACTCACGCAGCTGGGCGGATCTCGACATCGATGTCGGGATCCGCTGCGGCGTCTCATTATACCGCGAGCTGTAGCTCGCGGTATACTGAGCCTACGGTGATGGGAGGACGCTAGTTTGTGCTTAGCACGCTTTCGGGGACCCAACCCCTTCCTCATAGCTTAAGCATTAGCAGTGGAACTCTGTGAGGAGAACAGAGTCTCCTGAGTGTCTCCTTGATCTCTCAATCTGTCACATCCACAGCAACTATTCAATTAAGGACTGTCAGTCCATTTTGATGCTTTTATATGCTGCCTATTTTGTCAGTATATTTTTGTTTACTCTTTTATTAAATAACAAGGTTTTACCTGTTTCAGGAAAGGTGTCAGTTTTTTTTTTCTATACAGCCTTCTGGACTCCCTGACTGGAACAGGGCAGACTCTACTGGATACGCAGTAAAGGGTTCTGGCTTATAATTGGTCTTCCTGGCGCTGGGCGGTGTATTGCATTTTCTGCATACCCCCACCACCCCTCAGTATTTGTCTCTCAAATCCACTGCATGACTGCCCAGAGGATGAAACTTTCTCTTAGAGAAACCTTCAGGTGTGGCATTCCCAGTTGGGTGGGGTAGAGCCTTCGGTCGGGAATGAAGGCTTTTTCTGCCTTCCTTTTCCTTTCCTCTCTGTCTGGTTGTTCCTTTTCTTCTTTATATTTTTTCCCTCGCTCCCTGTTTCCTTCTGATGGAAGTTTTAGGATGATGCACATTGCATCTAACAGACGAGATGTCCAGGGAAATAGGCACGCTTGTTTAGACTCAACTGACTACCCTGTATCACCCAGATCCTTTACCTAGATATGCATATCTTGAGACTGAATGTTTTGCCATATTTTACATTCTTTGTTCTCTTTGTGCTCATTATACTGCTGTAATTTCTAGAATGTACTGTTGGCTGTGATATGCCCTGTACAGTATTCTATTCTTTGGTTTAAAAAACAAAAATTTAATAAAACTTATTGAAAACAAAATGATAATGTAAGAAGTATATATAACCACAAGATGGCAATAAAGTCATACCTGTATAGAACATATTCCTGACAATGAAGCGCCAATACAGATAAATAACATTATTTTCCTGAAAAGTGATGCAAGTTAAAGCGTTACTGAAGACAATACTTTTTCCAGTGTTAAATATAGTGGAGAGGGATTAGAACATCTTTCAGGTTTTTATTGCTGTCTGTGTCCCTGTCAGGGAGATTCACCCTCTCTATTTGTCCTGGTGAATGTTATCACTGAAAGTAAAAGAAAATCCCAAATTTTGGGTTGGAATAGATGGGAGACCTTCCAGTTGGGATACTAGTGGCCCTGCTGACCACCAGAGTTTTCCTCTCTTTGTAAGGATTTCCTTTCACTTCCTTTTGTAGCAATCAGACAGGAAGTCAAGGAAAATCTCACAAATGCAACCCAGATGTAAAAAAAAAAAAAGCTGACAAAACCCTCTTTTACTCTATCCAAACTTGAAAAAAATCTTCAGGTTTACATTAAAGAAGAACTCCAGGGAAAATGATCAACCCTCACAGTGGGGCTTCGCCGTACTGCAAGGGTTAAGTGCTCATTTTGGTCTAGGGAGGAAAAAAACAAACAGTTTAAGGTCCTGTGAGTCATTATGTCCAATACAAAGTATATAGGACGTAAGAACACCAAGGTACGTACCGACGTTACAGGTTGGAGGGAGCACTGTCATAGCCAACTGGGAATTATTTTCCTCCCTAGACCAAAACCAGCAGTTAGCCCTTACAGTGCGGGGGTAGCCCCACTGCAAGGGTTATTCATAATTTTCCCCGGAGCTCTGCTTTAACTGATCACTGTATACTAGCTCTAATATGTACTATGTTTTGCATGAGTTTATTTACATGCCATGGTAAGCTCATTGCCATTCTTCTTACTTCATTTTGGGGTGTAACATCTTTCTGGAAGTGATATATCTCTTCCTTTTAAATGTATAAAAGTGTTTATTAAGATGTTCTGCTCAGATAAAATAATGTAAATATTCTGTTATTTGACTTAGCTATGTTAAAGGGCAAGAGAGTAATCATTACTGGAGCGAGCTCTGGCATTGGAGAGCAGATGGCATATCACCTGGCAAAGATGGGATCCCACATATTGATAACCGCTCGCACTGAAGAGAAACTCAAAAAGGTAAGAACTTTCTGCAGTTCTACTCTCTTTTCTAGCAATACATTGAGAGGGCACTGAATAAAAAATGATCTTATGACAAGAGGTCAGACACAGCATTCATTTTACAGGGCTGCAACAATGAGCCTGCTTTAACTCCTTCACGTCCTCGGCATAGGAGACACAGCCAAAAAGCCCAGAATAGGTTTTATTGTTCCAATGAAGCTGAACTCTAGCCAGATATAAAAACCACCAGTTAATTCAGTCCTGTATTCATTAATATAGTCTTAAATTGATTTTTTTTTCAATGCAAGTGAGATAGGTACATGAATTCTGCTTGGTGTAAGCCAATTGCAGTCCTTGTACTGGAAAGCCAAGACTGGAAGAAGGAGAAGTAGCCCAAGGAATCAATCAGTTGTGCTGCAGTGCTCATGTGCTAACAAGAAACATGTGGCTGATTGGAGGCAAGAACAGAGTGACAGAGAGATGTGTTTGTCATAGGGTTGCCACCTTTTCTTCAAGAGAAACCCAAACACTATAGCGACACGCAGACATTTTTTTGAGTCATGACATATTCATATGTAAATAGCGCCGCCCATTCATATGTAAGTATCACAGTTGAGACTATTTTCAGTGGGGCGGCCAGTTACCACTGTCTGCCTGACATCTTGTGTCCAAGTTTCTGCTGCCATGAAATCCGGACACAGCATTCAAAATGCGGACTGTCTGGGTGAATCCTGGACAGGTGGCAACCCTAGCTTGTCAGTGTGCTGCTTTTTCTTTCACTATCTATTCAGAGGCTGAGGAAGGCACAAGGCCTGTAAGTGTTACTTAAATGAGAACTACGGGGTAACCTTGTTTCCCAGAGTTCTCTTTACGGTTACGGGAGGACGTTAACTAACCTCCTACCGTGACCCAAAGCTCAGTATATAACGAGCTTTTGCCCGCTATATACCGAGAGCGCCGCAGCCAGGACGGATCCCGACAATTCTGTCAAGATCCACCCTGCTGGCTCTCCCGTCCGCCCCTGCAGTCAGCGCTGGAGGATTGGAGAGGGGAGATGGGGAATCCCCGTGTCAGTCACCGCTCTCTGTAGGGAGATGATCGGAAAGTCAGCGGATTGGCGGCATGTTTTCAATCACTTCCCGATCAAAAGAGTGACATGTGACAATTTCAATGTCACACGCCGGCTCTAACTATGAGGATGAGTGTCATTCACTCACCCCATAGTTCTCCTTTAAGTAGGTCACCTGCCCTGCCAGGCAGTGCGTGCTGTGTAGTAGGGTTGGGTAAATATCAGGAATGGATGGACAGACATACAAAACCTTTGGCAAGTAAAACAGCTCTGATATATGTATCTGTTATTAGCTGTTTGCCTGCAGTTCAGCTTTACGTACACTTGTATGACCTACACACAGAGTAACACTTTTACAGAAAACACAATTATCAATTAGAACCCACCATAAGAAAAATGAAGAAACCAATTAGCAAACGCATCCTGAGTCACCGACCTGGAACAATTTTGCAGGTAAGGGAGTTTTCTACGCTGTATACTTGTTCAACGATAGTGCATCAGACAGAATTTAAAGAAGATAATATTATTCTTAACCCTTGCAGTGGGGCTACCCCCACACTGCAAGGGTTAAGTGCTCGTTTTTGTCTAGGGAAGACAATATTTAAAAAAGAATATACTGAATCTCACAGCCAGCTGGTTGTTAGACCGGTCCCTGCAGTCTCTCTCTCTCCCTCCACTCCAGCAGTGTAAGGTTCTGTGAGTCATCACATCCAATACAGTGTAAAGAACCTGAGGACGCTGAAGAGACAGGTGGCAGAGTACAGCAGTGGCTTAGGAAAGTATATCTTTGTTATTTTTGTCCCTAGAAAAAAACGGGCACTTAACCTTGCAGTGCAGGGATAGCCCCACTGCAAGAGTTAAGAAATATTATGCCCAGAGATCATCTTTATAGTGGAGCTCCAGGATTTTCAAAAGTTAACCCTTGCAGTGGGGCTACCCCACACTGCAGGGTTTAACTGCTTGTTTTGGTCTAGTGGCAGAAATAAAGAAAATATACTTACCTGATCCTCGGTTTCACCTTACTGCTAGACGAGTCTCCGCAGCGTCTTCTACCATGGGCCCATGGGCTCTGGCAGTCTATCCCCGCTGACACCATCACTTCTATGCAAGATCCATTTACTTGCATTAGATGTGAGGACGCTGAGGGACATTCCACAGACAGAACGGAAGGGTGAGTGATCTTCCATTTTCTACACCAAAATGAGACGTTAACCCTTGCAGTATGAGTATAGCTCCACTGCAGGGGTTAACTTTTGAAAATCCTGGAGATCTGCTTTAATACTATGATAACAGCAAGGCAGCTCGCATTATCACAAAAAGGCAGCAAGAGAGTTTATACCACAAAAAAACATCCAGTTGGGGATATAATATATGTAATGATATACAGGTATTCCTCACTTAACGACCGAGTTCCGTTCCTACGACCAGGTCGTTTAACGGATTGGTCGTTAAGTGAGGAACTCTATACAGTACTGTACTGCATTAGTACAGTACTGTATAGCGTTGCCGATGTACAGTAACGAACAGTGTACTGTACATCGGGCAATGAAAATACTTACCAGGACCCGCAATGAAGATCGGAGGACACCACTTCCGCCGGCGACACGGCGCACTGACGCTGACGCACAAGGTCGGAGGTCGATCGGCGCTCCGTCGTAAGTGCGAGTGGTCCCAAAACAGGTAAGTCGGTAAGTGAGGAACATCTGTATTCTAATATATGTAATAATATATACCGTAATTTATTACACCCCTATAAAAAAGGCTAAGCTATGGATATGGACATTAAAGGAGAACTATGGTGTTAAGGCTTTTTCCCCATAGTTCTCCTTAGGGTAACGGGAGGACACAAACTAGCGTCCTCCCGTCACCCTAAGCTCAGTATATCGTGAGCTGCAGCTCGCGGTATACTGAGATGCCACAGTATACCGCAAGCTACTGCTCGCGGTATACTGAGACGCCGCAGCTGAAGCGGATCCCGACAATTATGCCGGGATCCGCCCACCTGCGTGACTGACAGCTGGTTCTGCCTATCTAGAGGCAGAGCCAGCTGTACCCTCCCCCTACCCCGTCCGATCCGCCAGTCAGCGCTGGCGGATCGGAGCGGGGAGGGGGGAATCCATCCCCTCCCCTGTCACGGCAGAGAGCTGTGATGGGATCGAGAGGTGAGCGAACGCCGGTATGTGTTCGCTCACCTCCCGATCTACTGAGCTGACCTGTGACAGTCTCATTGTCACAGGTCGGCTAGAACTATGAGGTGAGTGAAAAGCACTCACCTCATAGTTCTCCTTTAAATACATAATGCATTTACTTCTGGATTGTTTTTTTCTTCTGGTAAACAGAAAGTTAGTAAGCTATTTAAGTTGCAGCTTCTCCAGAAGTGATACATGCATTAATATGGCTGTTTAGGATAGATTCTGGTAGTATGTATTTCTAAACTTTGAACATTTTGGCGGATAAAAAATGTTCAGGTTTATTTGCAAAGTGCAGTAACCCAATTTATTTACAGCAAACTGAAATCTGTTTTGGCTGCTAAACTTGAACAACAGCTTTGTTCAACTATGAATTTATCAGTCGCATCCAGGTGACCTATACCGCATTTTATCATTTTTTTTCCCCTAGGTTGTAGAAAAGTGTACAAAGCTTGGGTCAGCATCTGCTTATTATATCCATGGAAGCATGGACAACATGACTTTTGCCAAACAAGTAGTACATGAAGCAGAACGTTTATTTGGTAAGAGTCTAATAATTCCTTCCTTAGAATGTTCATGCTTACACTGGCACTCAACAGCTTAAGTTGGGTACATACAGTCATATTTTTTTGGTTCAGCCTCACAGGTTGAACAAAAAAAAAAATATGACAGGTTCGTCCATCCGCACTAACAGTGTACATTGTATTCTAACAGCAGCGCCAGCCACCATTCGGCCAATGATTTTCCAGCATGTCCCTGCAACAAAAGTCGATCTAATGATTAAGTTCTGTCAGGGGATAGCACCAGCGGATAGGGGATTCTGTCGATAGTGATGAGACCACCCACAGATTTGAAATGTCTTTATAGTTATCAAATATGTGATTATGTATCATGTTATACCATGAATATATAGGTGTAAAATGAAACATGGTCCAAAAAGTGAACTTAGCCTTAAATGGGAACTACATTTTTTTTGTAATATTTTGTTTAGTCCAGCTGCAATCAAAACTTTTTTGTTTGGATATTATAGGTATGAGTAGGAAATTCTATTGGAAAGATTTCCCCTGACAAACACAGGAATTGACAAACAACAGTACTCATGTGGTCTGCTGTGCTCAAACCTTGATTCAGGGTTCTAAAATGACGCTGGGTTTCAAAGGCTCTGTCAGGATCCAAAGCATTGGAACAAGTGGCTGTTAGCAACTGTTAGTGAATCTTGGGCTTGTGCTTCATAAGAGCACTATGTGATAGCGCAATACAACACAATGCTTTGCCATTGCTGAAGCCGACCAATTTCCATGCAAATGACTGCTGGGCAGAGCCAGCCATGATCTCATGGTTTGCCCCACCCATTTGTAATGACAAACATTACAAATGGGTAAACAATAACAACTGGGCAGAGCCGGCCGTGACATCAGGGGGGGGGGCTTAAAAAAGCAACATTCTTGGAGGAGACGTATTTGTCCAAAATATAGGAATATTACTCATATTTTAATATCTTATGCCAACCTTATCCTACTTAATTGTGTAAAGTTTACAAAAAGTATTCACAGATTGAGTTTTTTTCTCAAAATAATAATTTGATTTAATCATATTGATTTCTTTCCTACTGATTCCTGTGAACTGTAACTCTTCATAGATCTCCTTTAATACCAGTAACAATTACTTCAAGTCTTATTCTCATTAACTGTTTTTTCTTTGCGAATAGGTGGCCTGGACATGCTCATTTTGAACCACATTGGTTTCACATACTTTGGTTTCTTTGATGGTGATGTGGATCATATAAGAACACTCCTGGAAATTAACTTTCTAAGTTATGCGACTATGACAGTGGAAGCTCTTCCGATGCTAAAAGCAAGTGGTGGCAATATTGTGGTGGTCTCCTCCCTTGCTGGTCAGTGCCTAATGAACATATACATTGAGAATATTTGGAATGTTTTACGAAATTGCAATAGACAGGATGGGGCTATCAGTCACAGAAAATACATGCAGATTTCTATTATGCAGAAGTCTGTACATTGCAACTGCACACTGAATTATTCAAGAGGAGCCTTTTTTCAATAGTATATAATTAATGTATTAAGACATTTATAAAAGAGTCCCTACTGTATTGATTTATTTATGCATTAAACAATGCTTAAAGGAGAAGTATTGGGAGAGTAAAATGTAGTCTACCCAATACTTTATTTGGCGTGTGACACTGCAGCTGTCACACGTCGGCTCTATAGATTGAGATCTGAGCGATCACAAACCGCTGATTGCTCAGCTTATGGTCTTGTCAACGATGAGAGGAGGACCATGACTGTCAGTCACCCATCTCCACAAGGATTCCCCCCTCGCCTCTGTTCCTCCAGCGTCCATTGGACTGCACTCTGATTATTATATTCTTTTCCATTTTTGAAAAACTTATGGGACTTGATATTTTCTGTATTAAGAAGGAACTCTTTTTCAAATCTCCTAAAGATACACTTTGGCCATCCATCTGTTTGATCGTTAACTCTCTAGCCCGACATGATCCTTTTTTCTTTTTCCACAGAGAATTAATCTAATATAGGGGTGTACTACTTACTCTGTCGTTTGAAATGAATTATCATTAATAGCTGAGTGCCGTTTGATGTATTTGTTTAAATGTTTGTCTGTTTTTTGATATATGCAATTTATACTTTTTAAAAATTAGTTAATAATGTTATTCATATTGTTGCATAATTGAATGAATGGTGGGATCCCCTACACTTGGGGTATCGTTTTCTGTCTAAATCATTTAAACAGGGGACCCACCATGAAACATTAGTTTAATTGCATGCACTTCTAAACCTTTCCTCCCCAATTATATATATTCGTAACATTAGTAATACTCCTATGACCCAAGAGAACTAAAGCCAAAAAATAGCGCTTTGCCATTGGTCCAAGCCATCCACAGAGCTCATGCCTCTAACAGAGAGTAGGGGCTGTGACAGCTCTTGCCTCACTAAGTTAGGTTACACAAGCAGTGGGGAAGCACGCTGCTGTGTAACCTAACTACCTGTCAAAAGTCGGATGCAGCGACGCCTGTAACTAACAGGCAGCACTCCGTCTATGACAGGTTACACAGCGGGGAGGCTTCCCCTGCTGTGTAACCTGCCACAAGCCGCTCTGAATGGAGAAAAAGCTGTCAGCTTCAGACTTGAAGCTGGCAGCTTTTTCCTACATAATACTAGGTGAGGCTCTGGGGTTGATTTACTAACCTTATAAACACACCACGAACATGTATACACCTCTGTAGTGTGTTCCCTCCCAGCATGATCTATGGGTGGAATCTAAACACCTTTGTAGTGTGTACACACCCAGCAGGTGTGTTGTGCAAAGCCCTGCCCTGAATTGCAAGGTGATGTTGTGTAAATTAGCTCTATGTTGTGTTGCTTGCATTGATGAATGCAGGAATGTAAATGCATGAGCTAACCATTTTTGTCTAAACTGTGAAGCAGCATTATATATGCATCATGTGCATGATTTTTACATATATGGCATTAGTGGAAACATGCTTATAGAGACTTTTTGGTTGATAAATACGCTTTGCTGTGTAAAAATCACACGCACCTGGTGCGTGCGTGTGTTTAGGTTAGTAAATCACCCCCTCTGCCTCACCTGCCTCTCCTGAGCGCACGTCCCTGATAGAAACACATTGAAATCAGGGGAACAAGGCACTAACAGACACTGTGGTGAAGGCAAAGAAGCATAAGGGACTAGGAACACAGTGCAAAAACAACACAGGAATTATGGCAAGAAGTCTAAAGCAAATCACAAAATACAAAAATGGCTAAACAAGTTTAGGAAAAAGACATGCAAAACTAGAAAAAACTAGAAGACAGTGGCAGTTCTCAGGAGTTCAGAAAGAATTTGATGGAATACAGATAATGTTACAAAGTATACCAGCTTTCTCTTAGAAGTAAGGTGCCCAAAACGAAACTGAGGCAGCTAGAACAAGCTACAGTTGAAAGAAGAGAATACTGTACATTGCAGCCAGCAAAAGGACCATAGTTCTAGTCCTGTTGCCTTGGCATCTTTGACATTACTCACTACAGGATCAAGGATCCAATGCCATGCCAGGCTTCGACTGTTTGGAATTGCAGGTAGATTTTTTTTTACTGTTTTAGTTGCGCTACTAGCTTTTTTTTTTCACATGACCATATGGCAAAAACTCATCTGTAAAAGCAAGTATGACCCATTATTGCTATGCTTGGGCTACAAAAAGATCCCAGACAGCAGTAAAGACCCAATGGGAATCTGAACCATGACTCACTTCACCCAGTGGTCTTCAAGCAGAGAAATCTGTTTTGGGTGCACTTACTCATCATGAGAATCCTCACTACAAATAACTGCTTCATGTTTTGTGCCTACAGGTAAAGTTGGTTTACCTCTGACTGTGCCTTATTCCACCACCAAGTTTGCTCTTGATGGCTTCTTCAGCTCACTGAGAATGGAGTTCTACCACCAGAAAGTTAACGTCTCCATAACATTGTGTGTTCTCAGCTATATTGACACAGGTAAAGATTGTGCTTCTTTATTGGAACCATACTGTATATTCTTTGCATTTGTCTGTGAGATTTGTCCACACTGTTTTTCTAGTTACACCTCCGCTAATACTTTCATATTATGTGCTGCATTTCTCTTAAAATGTTTTAAAACCATAACCAAGTATTCAAGAGTAGGGATGGGCCGAGTGTTCGATTCGAACATGAGTTCGAATCGAGCATCGGCAGTTCGAGTGCTCGACGAGCGCCAAACTTTATGGGATGTTCGCGGTCTGTTTGACCGCGTACATTCCATAATACAAAATGCCCACTGAAGCTCCACAGGTCAGGTGCAAGACTTTGCCCAATCAGGGCTCAGCGGAGGAGGGGCCTGAAGGTATGGCTCCCAGCCTCCAGACGAAGTGGAGGCAGGGGGGCGGGGCAGAGGAGCCGCGGCCGGACTGAAGGAGAAAAGCCGACGGACCGCCGGGACAGCGAGCAGACGGACCAGGAGACCGAAGGCCGGGACAGTGAGTGGACGGACCAGGGGACTGGAGGCCGGGACAGCAGCGGAGGTAAGGGGGCCAGTACACTGTATTTATTACATGTACCGGCAACTGTATGGTGGTCGAACATTCGACCCCCATACACTTGCATTGAGTTCGATTTCGTATTCGAACATTTCGGCCATTCGAATGTTCGAAATACGAACCGAACAGGGGGGTGTTCGGCTCATCCCTATTCAAGAGGAGCCCTTTTTCTATAGTACATGATAAATGCATTAAGATATTTATTTTATGAATTTATATATATGCATTGAGCAAAGCTTAAAGTGACATTAAACCCTCAGATGTTTTAACATAAACCAATACTGTAATGTGTGCCTTACTGTAATCCATGGTAGTTTCCCTTCTCTTTGCTGCTCTTCCTTTTAAATCCTCATGTCTTCTCATGCTGAGGGAGAACTTCCCTTTGCAGCTGAGTGCCTCTTCCTGTAGTGCTGGCTCAGGTTGCAAACCATGTATCCATTTCAGAGACAAGGCAGTCTGCTGCAAAACAGAAGTTCTGCCCAGCATGAGAACAGATACAGATTTAAAAGGAAGAGCAGCAAAGAGAAGGGAAACAACCATGGATTACAGTAAGGCACACATTACAGTATTGTTTTATGTTAAAAAATCTGAGGGTTTAATGTCACTTTAAATATGTTTCTAAACCCTAACTTCAGTCATAAATATGTTTAGTTTTGGATATAGTGATTAGAATAACTAAAAGAGTGGTTAGAATGATTAGAACATCTACCAGCCTTTACAAGAAAATAAAAAATAAAATGTTTTTCTTGGAATCTATTAGGAGACATGGGATTATAAAATAGTCTATGACAAGTGGCATATGGATAGGAGATTTGACAAAATAAAAAAAAACAAGATGTTAAGCCAGCCCTCCGTATAACCCCATTTCCATCTTTCATGCTTAAGTTTTGTGAACCAGCAGTACATAAATCCAAAAACATAGAGGGATGGAACTAGTGTGCTTAAATGGACTCCAAGTTAAAGAAGCACAAAAACCTTATTTTCTTTATTATCCATTGAGGGACACAGGGTTTTAAAATAGTTTATGACACGTGGGATGTTCAACAGCAGTCCAAATGTGAAGTGGGAAAATCTACAGATGTTGAATTTTACTAGAATCAACACAGCAATGGCTTGATGGCTAAGAGTTCGCAGATATAGTAAATGCCTGAATTCCAGGATAGTCAAGGAAAGACATCCAGGATCATTTTGGTATTCAAGATCAGGAATAAGAAACTCCAAGAGGAAACTAGAAGGGAGGTGTATAATGTGAGGAATGGTTAATCCCTCACAATGTTCAGAATGAATGGCACTGCATTGCACCAATTAATCTATTGTTTTTTTTAAAGTATTGCAGTAAAGTGTGCAATAATGTGCGTGGGGTAATCATTCCCTGCACACTACTTAAGACCTGACTCAACATACTTGCTGCTATAAGAGAACCAGCACACCACACCTTGCTTCTACAGCAATAAAAGCCGCCATGCTTCTTACTATTTCCTACTTTCCTGCCACCCTGTATTTCGGGGTTTGACAGAGTGTCACTGGGACTGGAAGAGAGAGGAAATCTCTCTACTGTCTTTATCAATATCAGGTCAGGTAAACAAAAAAAAATTAAATGGAGAGGTTGACTGCTATGAGCAACATGCATTTCATGCTTTTGTATTAGGGCCCAGAAAATGGGAAAACTGTATATTGCGGTGCACATGTGATGTTGGTAAATAAAAGTACTCATACACAAGAAGTCTATTTTTAGTGAAAAAGGAGAACAAGGACCATTAGATGAAAATGTGTGACCTACTAAATGAACTTGATGTTTGACAGATAACGTGGTTTATCTGCTGCATCTTTTACACCATTCCAACAAGAACAAGCCCATTCTGGGCAAAGAAGAGATTAGAAATATTAACAGAATTTAATCTCTGGTGATGTCAAGAGGAAGTACACAAATAAACCAGTGATGTATATCGACCATAAAATGTATAGGGATCATGGTGGGAGTTGTAATTCTCCACTACAGTGTATGCAGGTCAGGCTAAAGCTGTTGTCCTTTGGCATTCACATTTTAGAAAATAGATGGAATGATAAATATGGTACAGACAGGGGACTGTCAGTTCGGGGTTTGGTCTGTCATTGAAAGGTCATGGGCACGTCACTTCAGTGTAAAACTAATAATGTTAGTTATCTTACTGTTATTCTGACCTTCTGGCTTCAATACTGTCAAAGACTCTATACATTATGCAGATACAGATACTCCTTCCAGCATAGTGACTTCATGTATTAAAGAAAGAGGGTCAGCATGTTACACAGGCAACTAATAATTTAATAAGGAAAGGTCAGCAATGCTAGCCTTCATGTTTCTCCTTTGACAGGCTTCCTGTAACCCAGAATAGATGTGGACATGTGGTTTTGAGCAGAAAGAGTACAGGGAGTCATCTGTTAATGGGCTTAAATGATTCCTCGTTCATAACCACAAGACAGAAAATACTTCAGTATAATCAATACTATAATTCACTTTTATACATCTATATGAAATCAGTAGCTGGCTTCACCCGATTTATTGGTGAGGCCGGTAATTTTGTTGAAGAGGGTGTTTTTTTTTAATGTAGTAGTAGGTGGGTAGCTGTGCTTTACCATCTCACAGCAAGGATGTTAGTGCTTAAATAACAACTTGACACATGCTTGGTAAATTCCACTCTTTAAAGCATTTTAATGAATTAGAACTATTCAGTTCAAGAAAGATATTCTGAACAGCAGATGACAAACATCACAATGAACTTAAGTAGTGACAAAAAGCAGTATGAAGGACAGGGATCGCTGGCTACATGAACAATGACATTCTGCAGCTGAGCAGTGACTGGGATAATGCTCTGCTGGGCAGCCCCCGGGGTATGAACTGTGCAAAGTCGTCAGTGTGGTGCCCACTTACATTGGTAGTGAGCAGTGATGCGCCCCCTTAAATTTGTGGTCAGTGGCGTAGTTGGTGGAGAAATATTCCTTATATTAGTGGCCAATGTCGTCAGTGTGGTGCCCACTTACATTGGTAGTCAGCAGTGATTTTCCCCCTTACATTTGTGGTCAGTGAGGTACGGGCACCTTAAAGCAATGCTAGCAGATTTCTCTTGCCAGGTGCTCAGTGGAAAGGTGTCTCCTTACATTGGTGGTCAGTGATAAAATGGGTCCTTGCATTGGTGGACAGTGATATAAGTGGTAATGTAGCTCCTTCCACCCTCAGTGGAGTGGCTCTTTAAATTTAGTGTTGCTGGCACTGTAATCAGTCTTGGTGATTTGAAGTCTGTGATCATTTGGTCTTTCCGAGGTGTTCTGCTATTGTCTGCATCTACCTGTAGTAGGGTGTGACCCTGCCACAGAGAGGGGCAGCCAATGGGAGAACACTGAGGCGGTGCCTCCCCAGCCAATCACTAGGAGTTTCATGGCCAGTGGTGCATTCTGGGGAAGTGCATAAATACTCAGGAATTGCCATGTGCTCAGAGCATTCTGCCTCTGGGGGTGGGATGTACAAGGTTAGAGGAGCTGAGTAGTCCTCAAGCCTGCAGGAGGCCAGATAAGGACCCAGGTGGGGTCTGGAACTATCTGGGAAGGAGAACCAGAGGAACCATGTGACTGCTGTAGCTGCCAAGAAGGCCAGGATGGCATGAACCTCAGGAACAAATCTGGTGTCTCTCCCAGGGAAGATCCCAAGCACATCCTCTATCCAGCTGTAGTTCTATTGCACAGTGTCATTCTCTGCTCAACTAAAGTATTCCTGTACTGTGGAAGCTGGAAGGGATTGGTGAGTCTGGTGTCTATTTTTGCCATGGATGTCAGTAGCCCTATACCCTCTCTCCCAGTTTTGTTTGTTCCACAATAAAGCATCAAAAAAGTACTGGTGCCCAATTCACTGTTCGCATCCTACAACCCAGCTAAGGATCCACTCCAGAGAGTGAAATGTTAGCTCTCCCTGCCTCTGGAGTATGACACATGGCTCTGTGGGGCGGGGCGCTGCACCCATTAATTACCTTCCTCAGAGCAATCCCATCTCTATTTGGTGAGCACAGGCTTTTATAGTACTGTAAAGTATGATATGCAATTGCAGCACTGTAATAGATCTAGCCTGCCATGCATACTGTATAACTAAACTGAGCCACTGATCTCTGTTCAGATATTCTATCCCCACACTGCCTAACCTGAAGGGGGCCAGCACAGTGTTCAAAGAGTTTTCACAGAGGATACAGGCATTTGCATGAGGAAAAATGGACAAAATCTTTGAAGAAATTATAAACTGTTCCATTACTGCTGTATAAAATCTGTTTCTAATTCTTTATTGCAGATACTGCTTTAAATACAGTTGCCCATGTGATTCAGCAGCCTGCTGCTCCAAAGGAGGAATGTGCTTATGAAATTATTAAAGGTGGATTCCTGCGTCAAAGAGAAGTATATTACCAGTACCAAGCCACCAAAATCCCAATGCTCCTGAGAGACTGGGCCCCAGAATTGTTAGAATATCTTGTGCTTAAAAACTACGATGTGGATGCCATGACCCAAAAGAAGGAGTGAAAACCGATGTGTCAGCAAAGGAAGAAAAATATGCAAGCGCACATTTTGAAATATTTAAAAAGAAATCTGGCCTAAAACCAGAGAAAAGTAATTATCTGTATGTTTTGTTTTTTTCTCATAAGAGATAGTTGCATTATAACTAATGCAGGAAAAAGTGAAAGCAAATTAATAAAACAATTTTTTATTTTAATAATACAGACTTAATAAATAGCAGAGCAATACAGATTTATTGCAGTGCATCCAGGTACACTGAATATGGTACCATGCTGCACATATAGAACACCAGCTAGCTTTCCCAAACACTCTTTTCTTTGTCTACAGTCTTTTTGTTTTTAATGAAGAACTCTGAGCAGAAATGTTTCTAACCCTTGCAGTGGGGCTAGTCTCCACACTGCAAGGGTTAACTGCTCATTTGTTTCTAGGCTAAAAAAGAAGTTATACTCACCTTATCCTCCAAGCCGCCCAGCTCTTAGACTGTGAAGCATCTGTCCCCCTCTGCTGCAGTCTAGGAATCCTAATGTCATCACATCCAATACAGTGCATAGGACATGAGGACGCTGAGGGACATACCATCGATGCAGCAGAGGAGACAGACTGGAGAGAGTGCTGTTGGCTCCGGGGATCAGGTGAGTATCCGTGACAAACATGAGCAGGTAACCCTTGCAGTGCAAGAGTAGCCCTTCTTCATTAAAGGAAAGCAGAAATGCGGAGCTGCCATCACATGCTAGGTGCATGGCTGTCTCTGATAGCACTTTCCTAAGCATTGAACTAGAATATGTATGCAAGTCCGAGAACTAGAATAAAGGCAAGACACCTAATCAGGCTTATGATGCACTGAACCTATAAGAACAGCATGACAGCTGGGGAGCTTGTGTTTTTAGAATGACAGCCCAACAATGGCAGCTTTCATAATTCCTTACTATAGGTTTTCTTTATTAGCAAAAGAAAAAGTATAAAAATACTGTTATATTGTAAGCTAGTTTTCTTTTACTCGTATTGATATTATATAGAGATTTGTTGATAGGCTTGGGTTCTTAGTATGGGACACCCTCAGCACAGGCTTATATTGGGTGGACAAATAGGAGCTTTATTTCATAATAGAAACCAATAAAAGAACCAAGTTCTGTAAATATTTTCAACAAAATGGAAACTTTTCTGACATAACAAAAACTTTTTCCACAATATTGATCCTGGCTGAAGTGTAGTTGTTACCCATAATGAGCAATTCAAATTCTTGTTTAATATTACTATATAATGAAAAGTGAAATGTGATGGGTTGCTACAGCCATAAGCTTTACTTCTAATTTTTCATTATTATTGACTTATACCCAAATTTGTTTATAGAGAGAGTTTTATATAGGCAATGAAACTTTTTACTGAACTTTGTTGAAGAATATAAAGAATGTATTTTTATTTTTCACATTTTACCCATGTGAAATAAATCTAAATTAAAATGGTTCAAAATGTGACAAAAAAGAATGCTGAATCTGTATCCCTCTACAACATTGTAAGTGCTGTCCAGTTCCCAAATCTCCTTGACTAAGGCTATACAGTATTCACAGGGGGCTTAGAGTAGTATTAAACTCTTTTTTTTCAATAATAAATCCAGATCAAACAGTTAAACATTGCCCAGCAACATATTTCTGTACCTTTTTTCCCAAAACACTTTAAGTCATCATGTTTACAAATAGCTAACAAATAGCTAACTCCAAAGGGTCTATTCACAAAGCTGCCGAAGGATCCAGCCGTAGCGTAGGCTGATTCTTCGACTAGCTTTGGTTGCGGGAGCTTTTCGGTTCAGTCGAATCGAAGGATTGCTGTGTGGGCTATTCACGTACAGCTCCCGAAGGTGGCCGCGCAGCTCAGCCGAGCCGAAGGCATATGCTGTGGCTTGATTGAGCCGAAGTGACAGCTGAAGCGGGGCAAACAGCTGGTCGAAGGCCAGCCGTACACCTCGCAAATAGCGGCTGAGCAGAGCCAGCCGTGATCTTTTTTTGGAACACTGTGATGTCTTTGTCCAATAAAAAAGGATATATTCATCTTTATTATTGAGTGCTGGTGATCTGCTTCTTTATCCGAAGGGTGTCTATACACACAGACCAAAGGTTGAACTTGATGGACCTGTCAACAACTATAACTATGATCTACGTATGTAACTTGACTTCCCCTCTCTGTGATTTACCTCACATCCCTCTCACTGAACACCCCATATTTACCACATGCCAACCCCTAGTCAGGTTTGTCTCAACCCTCTACCTCTCCATCCCCACTGCACACTTCAGAGTTACTTCGTCCAAATAGGAGCAGTGGACAGTCTACAAGTGCACAGATTCTGTGGGTAAAGTTGGCAATCTATACTATCAGGTGCACTTCTAGAGTGATGCTCCATTCAGTCACAGTAAAGAGAGCTCACTGGCTAAAACCCTGGGCAGTGGATCCTTCTTCAAAACAGAGGTGGTGCAAGATTCCATATGATGGAAAAACTCTATTTGGAGACAAATTGGAAACCTTGATTTCCAGAGTTATTGAAAGCAAATTCTGATTTACTACCTCAAGACTGGAGGCTGAAATGTCAGAGAGGCTTTTCTAACAAACAACCGCAGACCAGGTTTAGAGACTTAAGATTGTCTTGCCAAGGTAATTAACTTAAAAAAGTATCTTGTAACCAAGAGACTGGATGCTTTCTGTAGACTTGCAGGAGCATATTTACATATCCTGATTCTGCACACCTTTCATAAGTTTCCCAGGTTTGTAGTAGGGCAGAAACACATCCAGATTGTGAGCTTTTCTTTTGGTCTTCCCACCTCACCCAGGACATTCACCAAGGCCCTAAACACTGTGCTAACACTCCTCTAGGATCAGGGCTTATGCATCTATCACTATCTGGACAACATTCTCTTGTTAGCCAACAGCCAAATATTACTTTTGACAAACCGGGACATCCTTCTTGGGCAAAAAAAGAAAAAGCGTGGTGTTTTCCTCCCCAATTGATACCAGACCCTTTAGATCTGGTAGGAATGTTAGAAGGGACCCAAATGTAAAAAAAAAAGAAAACAAATATGGGGTTCCCTCAAAAGTCATACCAGACCCTTTAGGTCTGGTAGGAATTTTAAGGTGGACCCCAATGCCAAACCCCCCCCCTCCCCCCCCCAAAATGGGGTCTGCTCTGTGATCTGACAGAGCAGGAAGGGGAGGGACAAGCGAGCGCCCCCCCTTGCACCATAACAGGCCACATGCCCTCAACATGGGGAGGGTACTTTTCCAAGGGGGAACTCCCTTGAAAAGCACCTTGGCCCCATGGCGATGAGGACAAGGGCCTCTTCCTCACAACCCTGGCCCGGTGGTTATGGGGGTCTGCGGACAGGGGGGCTTATCTGCATCTGGGTACCCCTACTCATTCACCAAAAAGAAATGTAAATAGTAAATAAAAACACCACACCGTGACAGAGTCCTTTATAGATTATAGATCCATTGTCAATCACGTCATCCAGCAATGTAGATTCACATCAATCACAATGAACCATGCTTGCCCGCGAAACACCTCCATAAAATGACAGCTTTGAGCCGAATGTAAACAAATGGGCGAAGTGCGTCGTGTTGTCACAGGACCTGTTCCGCATATTTGTTGACATTCAGGACCAATCCTGTCATAATAACAACAACTCTGTTCCCGAATAGCATTCATGAGCTCCCGACTGCCATTCGGATCTGGGAGCCGACTATTATTAATATAATACAACACCTTGGCTCCCAGACCCCGAATGCTATTCGGACGCTCAAATGCTATTGTGTGTGCATGTTGGCAGGGATTGTGGCATGTTAAGGTGCAGGAGCGGGGGGGACGTTTCCGGGGTTTCACTTGCTCGCCCCCCTTCCTGCTCTGCCAGGTCACTGCTCATTAAGAGTTTAGTAGGAATTGTAGGGGTGAACCCACATTTTGTTTTTGGCGAAGGGGTCCCTTCGTATGACTTTTGAGGGGAACCCCATGCTTTTTTATATTGGGGATCCCCCCTAACATTCCTACCAGATCTAAAGGGTCTTGTATCGATTGGAGGGGAACCTCATGCTTTTTTTTTTTACATTTCTGTGGACTGTTTAAAAAAAAAAAAATTCCCCCCCCCCCCCCTACACTCTTTTTTATTAGTTTATTTTG